AAGCAAACTGCATGGTTGGCCTCTGTCTGATCCCTCATATCCCTCCTCGTGGTGAGCCACTGGCCCCTTCCCAGCACTCACCTGTGTCACCTCTCAGTGTCACTTCACAAGACAAATAGCTATCTTCCCCTGGCTTCTAGAGTTTTCTTTCCCTTCTTTATTAGCCAGGTCCTTTTTGGCTTCTGTGATGGTTAATTTTATGTGTCAACCTGGCCAGGACTCAGCACCCAGTGATCGACCCAACGCTACCCCCAGTATGGCTAGGAGTGTGTCTTGTGGTGTGATTAACATTAAGATGACCTCCACAGGGGCTGGAAACTAGTGTGGCAGTAAAATGCAACACTCTACAAGGCTGATCCACATGTTAAGGTTCCAGGTTCACGTCCTCAGACCTCCTTAGTGTGCTCAAGTATACTGTGTGCCCATTATCTGGGGAAGGCTGGGAATGAAGTGCAGTGTCAAGACCCTGTTGAAGGTATGCACACATTTGTGTGTGTGTGTGTGTGTGTGTGTGTGTGTGTGCTTTCTGTCTCTTGATGTAAGAAATTAGCTTTAAAAAAAAAAGAGATTAATACATGTGGCCCCCATCCAATCAATTGAAGGCCTTAGAGCAAAATCTAGGTTTTCCAGAGAAGAGATTTTTTTTTTTTTGAGAGATTTTCACTGTAGGGCGCGTGCGCTCGCCAGACAGACAGAGAGAGACATAGAGACAGAAAGCGAGAAATCACCCCCCAGGGGGGATGGTCACGCCACAATCCCTTCTCCATTCTCCTCTCGGGATCTTGGGCACGCACACACACGCGCCCGGCGTGAGTTTTAAGCCACCGGGTCCGGGACACGAACCGCGGTCGACTACGTGGGAGTCCAGCGACATAGCCATTACGCTAACTGCTGGTTCCCCAGAGAAGAGATTTTGTCCAAGACTGCAGCATCAACCTGCCTAAGCTTCCAGCCTGTTGATGTGCCCTGCAAAACAAACTTCAGAGACACCAGCTCCCTCCAACCAGTGCCCACCCACTTCCTTCCACCTGGCCATCTCCCCTCCACCAGCTCAGCTGGCCTAAGACACCACTCAACGGCACCTTCCCAAAGCCTTCCTCGTCCCATCTAATTAAAATGCAATCTGCCCCTTCTCCAATCACCATAATTTGCATGATTCATTTTAATGACATTTTGCTTACCGTGATTCCCATTTGAGTTATTTTGGTGTTTTTAGTTTTACAAGCTTTTGAAGACAAGAATATCTCCTATATACTTAAATCCCCTAATTTAACAACATTAGTATCTTGTACCTAGCAGGCACTTGAGAACTCATGAATAGAAGTGAGAAGAAACACAGTTATATAACAAAGCACTCAGGTTGTTGCCTCGGCCCTTGAGTGACACACAGAGGTTACTACACAAGCCTAATCCAAGACCACATTAGAATCACTTGGGAAGCTATTTTCCTTAAGTTTTATTTTTTATTTTATTTCTTTCATGAGAGAGATGGGAAAAGGGTGAAAGGGAGAGACAGAGACATAAAGACAGATAGGAACACCCAACAGAATCTTCATACTACGATCCACACCCCAGCTCAGTCCTTTAGCCAGATCATCCACGGGAAACTTGGACCTACGAATCTATCAATGCCCCAAATCACTACTCTCACTACAGTGCGGTCACTGACCAGCATCCCTTCCTACCCTTTCCTGCACATCCACCAGGAGGATGACTCTGGAAGGCCAGAGAGGGTGCACATTGGCTCATGGCACTTTGGCTCATGTCTCATGTCACTAAGGTGCAGGTGACACACCGTGTGGCTGGGACCTGACTCTTCCCACCCTTCCCTGACACTTCCAGTCACAGTGTTGGTGACGGGAGAGGAATGAGGGTTGGGGACAGACTTAGCAGAGGTCATCTGTGCACAGCAGCAGAGGAGCCGCAGGTGTCCAGGATGGCGACAGAAATCTGAATGCCAAGGGAGAGACACGCCAGGGTGAGGCCCCTGTCTGTGCATCCTGTGGCCACGTTCCCATCCCCATCCCTCATCTCTTCATTATAAGCCACATCCCCTACCACCTCGAATCCATCCTTCCTCTCATGATTCCTTCCTGGGTTTAGACATCAGCCTGACACCTGACCACCGCCAGGGCCCACCTGACCTACACCTCCCCAGCCACAACATGTGAAATCGCAGTGACCAACCGCTCTGATGGCAGTCCCGTGCTCCGTGTGTGTGCTTCCTGGTGTCCCCCGTTTGTGAAGCCTCCCTGAGTTTAGGACTAGCTCATTTTGCACAGTGTTACTTAATGATTTAATAATTCTAAGACTAGAAATGGCATCACAATGCAGTTACAATCAGAAAAGAGTGGCTCTCCACACGAGGGAGCCAGGCCGATTCCATCAGGTGACTTTGTACCTAACACAGTAAAAACAGAAACAGGCTGTCTTCTCTAAACAATACGGCCTTTGTGCCAAGCTACTCAATCTCAACATTTCAAATCAACTAGGTTGAGGAATTTGCCCCACAACAAGAACAAGAGGAAACAGCACCAAGTAGTCTAACGCCAATGGGCTCCCTCTCCAGGTGCCCTTAGTCTGGGCCGCCGTCTCCCATCTCCGGGCTCACAGTCATCATCTGTTAAGTAAGGGGCTCAATCTTCCTGGCCATCTCTACTCAAAAGTTCTATAAAATCCACTGAAATAAGTGAACTCATTGTCAAAAGGAAATATCTGTCACTCCACCGTGCATGATCTGCATGTGCTAGTAGAGTCTCCCTTCCTTCATGATGACAGTGAGAGGAAACAGTGTCCCCTCAGAGCCTGCTTTCACTGATGGGAACCCACAGCTAATGCTGAGATTTAAGTGTGGAAGAGCCACACACACCACAGGGTTTTCCTGTCATACTCCAGTCTCTCTCTACAGAGTTCAATTTTCCTGTGTTTTGTTTGTTTGTTTTATGTTTGTTTGTTCACTTATTTAATGAATGGGGGAGAGATAGGAACACCTGTCTAATCATGCTGCCATCATCCTACCCCACCCTACCCCTGGGCTTCCGGCCAGCAAGAAAGTGTTCAGGTCAGTCCAGACTAAACAGGGCCTACCTGTGGCCTCAGTGTCACACAGCACTGGCCTGTTGGCCGGCACTACCATAGCCGGGACATTTTCTTGGTATGTTTTACTGGAGAAGAGAGTGTTTAATTAAGAATATGCATCAAATTAAGGATATAAAGAATTACCATTTGCTTTTACTCATAAAAAGTTGTCTATATAGAAAAAAGTTCTGATTATAGAATAACATTTAACTATGAAATTCAAATAATTTTAAAACACAAAAAGGAGAGAATAAAATTAGCCATGATCTTACCCAAAGACATTTTATTGAATATTTACTTCCAGAGATTAATATGGATCATTCAAAAAACATGCAAACTCTATTTTAAATGAAATGAACTATCGCATGTAAATTTTACAAACCGCTTTTTCCATTAACAATACATACCATAGGTATTGTTTCATTTGAGCTTATATTGATTTACCTGATTCTTCTTAAAGGCTATTGGTAACCCACTGTGCAGCTGAACTAAAACCGAGTCCACTGGGCTGAGCCTGAGCCTCCCTCTGCCCTCCTGGCTGCCCAAGTGTGCGTGAGCCACGGCGAAGCCTGAGGCTCAGGCTGAGCTCTGAGCCCCGAAGGCACAACACAGAGGCTAAGGAGATGGGGAGGCTGACTAAGCACACGTCTGCTCTCAACGTCTGACTGTTGGCAACATGTCTTTCTAGTCAATAATGACACAGACTAGATTCTTCTCACTCCAGTTTTCAAAATTCCCTGCAATCAAAACTTTTGGAAAAACTATTACACGAGCACATTCTCTTTGCTCTGTTTCAGGCTGTATCTGCCCACACCGCATTGTCACTGAACCTAAAATGATGAGACAAGGCCAAGGGAGGTCCCAGAAAGGATGAGGAGGAACCACTTTCGCTGCTCAATCAAAAGATGTGATGAGGCAGCCTTGGTGGGCAGGCAGTAGAATACCAAACTGCAGTGCTGAAGCCACATGGCTGGCCATGGGTTCAGATCCCAAGTCAACCTGATATCCTTTCAAGGGGCTCACTGGCCATCACTCACTCACTCTCCTTTTCTCTCTCTGTTCCATGTACACATATATGCTCTCTTTGTGAAAAAATAAACTTTAAAAACATACAACAAAGAGTCAACCCCATGGCCTAGTGGTTAAGGGAGCCAGATCCCACATGGCTGAACACAGTTCAAATCCTGACTCTGGCAGCTCAAAAAACACTCTGGGCACATGTGCTTATGTATCAGGATGGGGAAATGAAGCAGAAGGGGGTAAAGCATGACCATGCCCCACTTAGGGATGCTCTCTTTCTTCCTTCCTCTGTCTATCTATTGAGTATAAGTGCCCTTTGGGAATTTAAAAAAAAAAAAAAAAAAAAACGGTGTGGCTAAAATTACCCAAATTAAAATAGGGCTTGCCAGATAAAAATCAAAGATGTCACAAGGTTTAAATGAATCACTCCTAGTTAACTAAGTCCCATCATCCCCTTGGCAATTAAAATTTTTACAAATATTTGGTCTTTAACGAACCCTGTAAAACAGAAAGTGAAACACAGATGTCTGTGTACTGATAGACACCCTCTTCTAAGAATGAAGGCCTTCCCTTAGGAACGACCCAAATACCTTACCTTATAGAGCGGGCGGCGCACATCAATGGGGCAGTTCTGTATCACTTCGTCAACGACGTCCGAGATGGATTCCATAAAGTCTGGGTTGGCAAACTGAATTTCATATAAACATAAGACAAGCGTTACACATTTCTCTCAACCAGAACAACCCAAAGGTAACTTTAACCAGCATACGTTTTACTATAGCATAAAACACTGCACTGGGGAATGAGGACATGTCCAATGAAGCCCGGGTGACTGGCTACGTGTGCATGAAATGATGCTAAGGCAGGGCTCCTCCAAAGGTGAAACGGAAAGTGTCCAACAGCAGCAAAGACGAGCCCTGCACCGTGAGCAGTGACAGCGTGTGTGATCTGTGCGTCATCTGTGAATATAAATGCCACGAAAGGCCAGCCAGGGTCAGGGAAGGGGTCGTAACATGCTCCGTGAAAGACGACTTCAGGACCAGCAGCTAGCGTAATGGCTATGTCACTGGACTCCCATGTAGTCGACCGTGGTTCAAGTCCCAGATCCAGTGACTTAAATTCATGCTGGGCGCGTGTGCATGCATGCCCAAGATCCCGAGACGAGAATAGAGGAGAAGGGATTGCGGCGTGGCCATCCCCCCAGGGGGTGATTTCTCACTTTCTGTCTCTCTCTGCCTTTCTGGTGAGTGCACACACCCTATGGCAAAAACCTCTCCCCCCCACCCCACCCCCAAAAAAAAAGAAGAAGAAGAAGAAAGATGAATTCCACGTGGTCCAGAAAATGGGAGGGATGTTTTGTTTGATGATGGAGGCTCAAAATGAAATGATCCACGAGAAAATCATGGTACTGGGACCAGCAGATGGCATAATGGTTACGTCACTGGACTCCCACATAGTCAACCATGGTTCAAGTCCTGGATCTGGCAGCTTAAAACTCATGCCAGGTGCGTGTGCGTGCGTGCCCAAGATCCCAAGGAGAGAATGAAGGAAAAGGGATCGCGGTGTGGCCATCCTCCCTAAGGGTGATTTCTCACTTTCTGTCTGTCTCTGTCTGTCCAGCAAGCACACGCACCATAGAGTAAAAAAAAATCTCTCTTTAAAAATAAAAACCAAGATACTCAAATAGCCTTATCATCCAGTTAAAAAAAAGGCCTTTGTGGAGGGGGCAGCAGGTGGGATGGTAGGTTCCCTC